TGTATTAAATTCAAGAACCTAGGCATGCAGACTGCTTCTACAAACATTTGTGAAAGAATGGGTCGCTCTCAGGAGCTCATTGAATTCAAGCATGGTACCGTGATAGGTTGCCACCTGTCCATCCGTGACATTTCCTGGCTACTAAATATTCCACGGTCAACTGTTAGTGGTATTATAACAAAGTGGAAGCAACTGGAAACAACAACTCAGCCACCAAGTGGTAGGCCATGTAAAATAACAGAGCGGTGTCAGCGCATGCTGAAGCGCACAGTGCGCAGAAGCCACCTGTCTGCAGAGTCAATAGCTAAAGACCTCCAAACTTCATGTGTCCTTCACATTAGCACAACAACAGTGTGTAGAGAGCTTCATAGAATGGGTTCCATGGTTGAGCAGTTGCATCCAAGCCTTACATCATCAAGTGCAATGCAAAGTGTCGGATGCAGTGGTGCAAAGCACACTGCCACTGGACACTAGAGCAGTGGAGACGTGTTCACTGGAGTGACCAATCATGCTTTTCTGTCTGGCAATCTGAAGACATATCTGGGTTTGACAGTTGCCAGGAAAATGATACTTACCTACCTGCCTTGTGCCAAGTGTAAAGTTTGGTGGAGGGGGGATTGTGGTGTGGGGTTTGTTTTTCAGGGGTTGGGCTTGGCCCCTTAGTTCTAGTGAAGGGAACTCTTAAGTAGTCAGCATACCAAGACATTTTGAAGACTTTCATACTCCCAACTTTGTGGGAAGAATTTGGGAAATGGCCCCTTCCAACATGACTGCGCAGCAGTGCACAAAGCAAGGCCCATAAAGATATGGATGAGCGAGTTTGGGGTGGAGGAACTTGACTGACCTGCACAGAGTCCTGACCTCAACCCGACCCGACACCTTTGGGATGAATTAGAGCGGAGACTGCGAGCCAGGCCTCATCTGACATCAGTGCCTGACCTCACAAATGTGCTTCTGGAAGAATGGTCAAACATTCCCATAGACGTGTGTTGTAAGAGGGACAGGCTAAAATGGTATGGGCAGCAGTAAACTGTGCATTAGACAGGGACACCCAGGAACAGTTCTGCAAACAGGCAGCAAACAAACACAGTTCCAATGCAGGAGGGCTTTGTGCAGCAAGTCCATAGCATAAAACAAACAAAACATCTGCTTGTCTGAGCCACTAACTAAATTCAGGTCAGTTCTTGACTAACAGGGTGCCCCTAATGGGTTCTACAAAACCAACAGCACTTGTATTTTTAGTGTTCTGTCAGCAGTCAGGCTTTTCACCCAGCAGCAGGCTTCCAAGGAAAATACAGCAAGAGAGCCCTGAGTGTCAATCATCTTCCACATAAAAAGAATCATGGACAGCTGGGACTAATCACAAGATCTGCCTACCAGGTCAAATGAGATCCTAGAAATGGAGGCTTTGTACAGCCAAAGCTCTACAAAGCCTCTGGGCACCAGGACATAGGACAGGACTTATTAGGATCCGAGGAAGCAAATCCTGCCAGCGAGTGACCAAAAATATATATATTGTAATATACGGGAGCCTGGGATCAGATTCTGCAAAAGCCAACATTCTTTTATTTTTCAGAACAGGCAAAACAAAGTAGCAGTTTTCAATATAGACAAAAAAAAAACAGTCTATACACTTGTGGTTCAAAAGCAAAGATACAGATCATCACCAGTATAAACAAGTCCCACACCAGAGCTTCAGGGTCCAGGAGGAAACCAGATCACAATCCTTACACGGCTCTGCCCTGCTCTCTCAACACTTCACAGACAACTGCTTGCTGCTTTTTTCAGGTTTGTCTTGCAGGCCTAAGAAATCAAAGCAGCCTCTCTTGTCATTCCCCTAAAGAGATCACAGCCCAAACAATGCTCACACATGTACATGTATATATATATATATATATATATATATATATATATATATATATATATATATACACAGTGGGTATAGAAAAGAATCACCCCCTTTAAAATAATCACATTTTGTTGCTTTGCAGCCTGAATTGAAGACAGATGGTTTTTGTTTTATCCAGCTGTATTTACTCAGTGCGACTTATAACATCTAAGTGCAAGATATAACACCAACATGTCAGAAACATTTAAAAAAAAATCAAAAATGGAATCTCAGAATTGGAAAAAGGATCACCCCATTGTTGTCAGTATTTTGTTGAACCACCTTTTGCTTTAATTCCAGCCTTTAGTCACTGATCACGCAATTTGTGTGCAATTTCAGCATGATTTCAGGTGCAATTTCTGAAGACTTTATTGCTACTTTGAAGATTTTCAACGATTTATTTCAGTTTGCAATGCAATTTCTATTATAGTCTATGTATGTGAAATTGGAACAAAACTGCAGAAAAAGTAATGCAAGAACTACTTTAGCAAATTGCACATGTTCAGACACTGACATTCGCATTCATTAGATGGGATTTCAGGTGTGATTTAAATTCCAAAATCACACCTGAAATCGCTCCAGTATGACTAGGCACTTAGTCTGTCGGGATATGTCTCTATCAACTTTTCAATATTTGTCCACTCTTCTTTACTGAACAAGTTCAGTTCAATTTAATGGTGACCATATTTGGACTGCAGTCTTCAAGTCATCCACAGATTTTCAATGGGGTTTAAGTCTGGGCTCTGATTAGGCCATGCAAGGACATTCACCGTTTTCTCTCTCGACCACTGCGTGATCATTTTTGTTGAGTGCTTTGGGTCATTGTCATGTTAAAAGGTAAACCTTCTTCCCATTGAAAACTTTCTGTCAAGGCAGCAGATTTTCCTCAAGAAGTTGGCGGTATTTTGTCCCATCCATTTCTCCTTCTATCCTGACAAGTACTCCACCCTCATAACAGGACATTACCACCTCCATGCTTTAATGTAGAATTGGTGTTATGTGGATTGGTGTTATGTGGATGGTGAGCTGTATTGGATGTCCGCCAAACATATAATTTAGTGTTGAGGCCAAATAATTCCATTTTAGTCTCATCTGACCATAACACCTTTTTCCATGTGGCCTCAGAATCTTCAAGGTGAGTTTTTGGCAAAGCTCAGCCGTGACTACATGTGGCCTTTCTTGAGAAGTGGCTTTTTTCTTGCAACCCTCCCATATAAGTCACATTGGTGGAGAATTTGTGATATTGTTGTCAAATGCACACAATGACCACTCTTTGTCATCAATTTGTGCAGCTGCTTCAGAGTTGCTGTAGGCCTCTTGGTAGCCTCTCTGACCAGTTTCCTCCGTTCATCCAGTTTGGAGTGACGTCCTGATTCAGGGAGGGTCTGTGTTGTACCAAATACCTTCCATTTTTAATAATAGACTTCACATCAAGGTATACATTGATAAAGCCTTTCAAATTTTTTTGTATCCATCTCCTGACTTTTGCCTGTCCACAACTTTATCTGGGAGATCTTTTAACAGTGCCTTGCCATCCATAGTTGATTGTTTGCTTGAGTTGCACTATCAGGGACTGAAATGCTCCAGGAAATCTCTATTCAGGCTGAGCTAATCAAAGTGACCACAGCTGATCACAGTCGAAAGTCAAAAGGCTTTGTGTGCCATTGAGAAGGTGATTAGATACACCTGGTTGAGTTTACAAGTCATTTTTAGGAGGGGGTGATCCTTTTTAAAACTCAGTGATTCTGTTTTGGAATTTTTAAACCTTTTGTGGACATGTTAGTGTTATACCTTTCACTTGGATGTTATAAGTTGCACTGAGTAAATACAGCTGGATAAAATGAGAACTGTGTCTGTCTTTATTTCAGGCTGCAAAGCAACAAAATGTGATTATTTTAAAGCGTGAGATTCATTATTTTCTATATCCACAATATATCTTTTTTACATAATTACAATAACCTACTATAAGTTGACAGTTTTAATTCCAAAAAATAATATAGTATATAAAATTGCAAGCCATATTTTAATTTCATGTAATTAAAATGGACCTTTCCTTATCAACCTGAAGCCCCTGTAATGTTCTAAAACTGTCAAAAAAATCAATGCAATTTGGCAATCTGGAAGGCCGCTCTGTTCACAGTTGTACAGACTGGCCCCAGAATGTTCATTTCCCGCTTGTGTGATTGGCTCATTGAATTTCTCAGATGTATGAGTACTTTAGACATCCTCTGCAAGTTGAATTTCATGTTGATGATATATTCCCTAAGGGCCAGTTCACACTACAGGCGTTTCAGTGTGCTTTTTTTCTGCATCCAAAATGCACAAAAAGTAGATTATATGTGTAAGAAATCAAATTTATGATTCAGCACTTATATCGATGACAAGCTTGCAAAATATTTGGTTTTTATGATTTATCATAATTAATATTATTATGTATGAATGGTCTTTTGACAAATGGTGGTATTACAATTCTTCAATTAAGCTGAGACAGTAAATATGAATGAGTTAGCTGAGACCAGCTAAACCAGCTGAAGACTATATTTAGGCATAGCTGGTTAAAAGTCCCTGGTAGTAATATGTCAAGGGTATTAGGAGTACCGTATTTTTCGCCGTATAAGACGCACTTTTTCTTCCCCAAAACTGGGGGGAAATGTCAGTGCGTCTTATGGAGCGAATATGGAGCGGCCGGTCCGGTATTTCCACCGCGGCCGTGTCAGAATACCGGGCCGGCCGCTCAGCTCTGCAGCGGGACCTTACCTGTTCCTCTATCCAGCGGCGCGCTGTCTTCCCGGCTTCTGTAGTGTGGGCGCTGGGCATGACAGCCGGGTGCCCAGTCCGCATGCGCAAGAAGCGGTGCTTTTTGTGAATGGTAAGGCGGCACCTGGGACACATGACAGATCCCAGAAGCCGCCGGACCAATCACAAAGCGCAAGTGCTTCTCGCTCATGTGCACTGGGCACCCAGCTGTCATGCCGAGCGCCATTACAGAAGCCGGGAAGACAGCGCGCGGCTGGATCGAGGAACAGGTAAGATCAAACAAAAACTCTGCGGAAGTAAGAGCGGGTACCTGTCAAATTCAGGTACCCGCTCCCCACCTCCCCAAAGGTCAGCAGTCATCTGTACTGTCCGCAGTCTCTGGTCATCCCTGTGTCTGTCCGCAGTCTGTCCGGTCTCTGGTCATCCCTGTGCTGTCCGCAGGTCTCTGGTCATCCCCTGTGCTGTCCGCAGTCTCTGGTCATCCCCTGTGCTGTCCGCAGTCTCTGGTCATCCCCTGTGCTGTCCGCAGTCTCTGGTCATCCCCTGTGCTGTCCGCAGTCTCTGGTCATCCCCTGTGCTGTCGCAGTCTCTGGTCATCCCCTGTGCTGTCCGCAGTCTCTGGTCATCCCTGTGCTGTCCGCAGTCTCTGGTCATCTCCTGTACTATGTCCGCAGTCTCTGGTCATCCCTGTGCTGTCAGCAGTCTCTGGTCATCCCTGTGCTGTCCGCAGTCTCTGGTCATCCCTGTGCTGTCCGCAGTCTCTGGTCATCCCTGTGCTGTCCGCAGTCTCTGGTCATCCCTGTGCTGTCAGCAGTCTCTGGTCATCCCTGTACTGTGTCCGCAGTCTCTGGTCATCCCTGTGCTGTCCGCAGTCTCTGGTCATCCCTGTGCTGTCCGCAGTCTCTGGTCATCCCTGTGCTGTCTGCAGTCTCTGGTCATCCCTGTGCTGTCCGCAGTCTCTGGTCATCTCCTGTACTGTGTCTGCAGTCCATTAGTTCAGAATTTTTTTTCTCCTGTTTTCTGCCTCTAAAACCTAGGTGCGTCTTATGGTCAGGTGCGTCTTATACGGCGAAAAATACGGTACTCATAGACTTACTATTACATAATGTATTTTAATAATATCTGTGTGTATTTAATATACGTTTCTAATTTTGATACATATATAGATTAGTGATTATACATTGATATGTTGTAAAGATATGCTCTTAAGTTAAATATGAATAGCTGAGGTTACATCATTAGCTGATAGTATTATGTATATCAACATCTGTACCTGTCCATCAAACATCATATATATAGCATCCCCTTCCTTTTATGAAATGGCTTTGCCAAGCAGTAATAATTTCCATAGATGGTATTAACCGTTTCAATACCGTGCAATTTTACACCTTCCTGCCCAGGCCATTTTTCAGGTTTCAGCACTCTCACACTTTGAATGACAATTGCGCGGTCATACAACACTGTACCCAAACTAAAATTTTATCATTTTCTTCACACAACTAGAGCTTTCTTTTGGTGGTATTTAATCACCGCTGGGGTTTTTATTTTTTGCTAAATTAACAAAAAAAGACCCAAATTTTTGAAAAAAAAAAAACAAGTTTTTTTTTTTGTTTCTGTTATAAAAAATTTACAAATAAATAATTGTTCTTCATAAATTTAGGCCGAGATGTATTCTGCTACATGTCTTTGGTGAAAATAACCCAAATTAGGATGTATTTTTTAGTTTGTAGGAAAGTTATAGAGTTCACAAACTATGGTATATATCTGAAAATTGATCAGTCCTGAAGTACTGACAGCCAATCTAATTTCTTGAGGTCCAAGAATGTCAGAACAGTACAGATATCCCCCAAATGACCCCTTTTTGCAGAGTAGACAGTCCGACGTACTTCATAAGAGGCATGGCGAGTTTTTTGAAGTTGTATTTTTTTGTCATAATTTTTCGGAAAATGAAAAAATTAAAAAAATTATTTTCACTATTTTTTTTTTTACATACTGTCACCAGTGCAGTACAGCGTCATCATATAACTGGCATGGCGGTGAACCGGGACACTGACTGATGACAGTATGAAAAAAAATATATATATTTTTTTAAAAAAATTTTTTAAATTTTTTTATTATATTTAATTTTTTATTACATTTTTTTTTATTTTTTTTAAGATTTTTTTTTCATATTTTACTATGACCAAAGTAGTACAATGTTACCATAGTAACATTGTACTACTTTGGGGAAGTGATCAGTATTTTTTTTTTTTACACAATTTGCTTATAGCAAAGAATTACTTTGCTATAATCAAGCATTTACCTGAATGAAATCGATTCATTCAGCTTTTTTTTTTTTTTTTTTTTTGTGCTTAGCTGTGATTTGGTCACAGCTAATCACATGACATGTGCATGTGATTAGCTGTGACCATTCACAGCTAGGCACTAGTATACAATGGATGGCATCATGAATGAAGCCATCCATTGTATACAACTGTCATGTGACCTGCTGTGATTGGTCACAGCAGGTCACATGGTACCAGCAACGGGAGCCGGTACTCGGATCTGTCATCGGCCGTGTCCGAGGTGCACGGCCGGTGACAGATCGCACTGCTGCGCCGCTCTGCATTCGCGCAAACGGCGCATGTGCGGGAGCACGCCAAATGGCGTGCACCCGGAGTGGAGAGACTGTTTTGAAGCCGCCAAACGGCCATTGGCCGGGCGGCTAATGGTTAATAGCATTAAATATGACGTAAATTTGCCTCATAAAAGACCATGAGACAACGGACACGAGAAGACACGCTCACACTAACACTGCCACTTTGACACACACGTATGAGAAGCTGGAACAGGTGCTTACTGAAGACAAGATCATCACTTCCGTCTATTTCCGGTTTCTTCCCAAAAGACATGAGAAGGACAAGAAGAACATAGAGAATAGCACATGGCCAGGACAGCCATGACAAATAATGGTGACTTATCTTTAAACTTCTGCTTGTTATTTCTACAGTAGTTTTATCTACATGGAACTGTTCATGATACGCTTTACATTGTTATTTTAATCCATTGTGTGATAGAATAAAATCACACTTCATTTTTTTATTTCAACGGCTCTTCATTCATAATCGCCTCAAGACACTAAAGAAGTATTATATGTGTCTAAAATCCAACAATATGTTTGTCAATATTATAGTTCACATAAGTTCTTGCAGTTCCAGTGCATTCTGTATGCAGAAAGAAAAGTATTACAGGCTGAATTTTCCCTGCACAGAACTGTAACGTATCAAAAGACATAAAAAACGCACTGGAATGCACATGTCCTTATTTAAATTGAAGAAAAAGGGGAAAAAATTAACTGGAACGCATCGAAAACGGACCAGAACACGTAAAAAAAACGCATAAAAAATGCACCGAAACGCAACAAAAAAGTGCATGCAGAAACGCATCCAGAACGCATCTGGACTGTGTTTCTATAGTGTGAAATGGCCCTAAGGGTTAAATACTTGCATAAAGGATACAGACACTATAGCTTGCCTAACTAACAAGTGGTTATCAGTGCACAGAATGCAAAAGAAAAACAAAAAGAGAGCGCACCAGCCTAGTGCATTATCATTTAAAGTATTTAATGAAAGAATTAAAACATAGGTACAATACTCACAACGGACATATAAAATGCAGGCACATCACAATGAATAATGGTGTTCAATGCATATAGCATCTGAGTCCACAACGATGGAACCTTGGATGACCAACTTGCTGACGCGTTTCGAGGACTCAGCCTCTTCCTCAGAGCCTGATGCTGAGTCCTGTGGTTTATATGTCCATTGTGAGTATGATACTTACTCAGGGGAGGACTGACCATTTGGAAACCCGGGCACTGCCCGAGGGCCCGGGGTCAGTAGGGAGCCCCATGAGATGCCCCTGGTACCTTTTTCATAGGTTTTTTTTGAGTTTGGGCAAGGACACAGGGGCCCCATGATCCCCTATTGCCCGGGGGCCCCATGAGTTGTCAGTCCGCCCCTGTACTTACTTTTTTATTCTTTCAATAAATATTTTTAAACGATAATGCACTAGGCCGGTGCGCCCTCTTCTTGTTTTTCTTTTGCATTCTGTGCACTCATAACCACCTGTTAATTAGGCAAGATACAGTGTCTGTATCCTTTATACAAGTAATTAACCCTTAGGGCCCTCTTTTTGCTTTTCTTTTGCATTCAGTGACTTTGGACTACCCCGGTCCGTTGAGGGCAGCAAGGAGTGCATATTCCAGAACATTTACATTGTCATCCTAGCCACTGCTGAGTCCATCCCCAGCGCATGGGTAAAGTATTTGCTGTGTTTGAATGGTTATGAGTGCACACCCTTCCATTCACAAAATGACCTTGTAAAGACATAGTAAACCAAACCACTCTTTTCTTCAGAACAGAAAAAGGTAGAACTTTGTTACAAACTTTGTTAAAATCCTTGTAATATACATAGATCACCACTAAGGGATTGTTTTTTTTTTTCTTTTTCAACAAAAGTGGAGTTACACTTTAAGTCTTCTCACCCCTTTGCCCACAGCCTATCCAAGATGTGTTCTCAGAGCTAGCTATCACATTTTCTTGCATATACTATGGCACAAACTGGCAAGATCTTTGGTTTACTGCACTGGGAGTTTCATGTATACTGTACATAAAGTGTTCTTTATCAAAAGGGATTGAAGCAGTGTTTCATATTACAACTAGGACCACTAGGCAGCAGTACGACACTGACAAGTCATCAACCCTGCTCATTCCACTTTCTCCTCTTTGGCTCTTAATGCTGACTCTGCCTCTCCCAAGTGCAGCTGTGAAGGGGATAATAGTCCACAGAATATCAAGACAGCTTTTGGGAAAAATACTAACTGTATGTAAAAGTATGTCTAAAGCCTGACTCTGGGCTATCTTTTTAAATAGATTGGGCACTGTTTAAAATAAATAGTAGCTCAGGCTGCAATATTCACGCCTTCTCCAGAGCTGTCCCCTGCAGTAACACCTTTTCACCACAAGATTTCCTCAGTCTTCCAAGGTCCGCCCCATAGTAGTTTTACTGCTACAGGGTGATCTCCTGTGCAAAATCATATATATATATATGATTTGCACTTTTGCACTTCTTCAAAGAGGGCACATGGTGGATCTCTTCTGCTGTGAACGCTCACAGCTGAAGCCAATCTATGAGTGCCTGTGAATGATGCCCTCTGACACCCACTGATCAAGAGTGCCCCCTTGTCCTCTGTGATAACCTCAGGGTGAATAGCTCTACACTGAGTTCACTATATGAACCACTGATGTATTTATACATGGAGATCATATCCCCCCTTATGTATTATACATGGAGATCATATCCCCCCTTATGTATTATACATGGAGATCATATCCCCCCTTATGTATTATACATGGAGATCATATCCCCCCTTATGTATTATACATGGAGATCATATCCCCCCTATGTATTATACATGGAGATCATATCCCCCCTTATGTATTATACATGGAGATCATATCCCCCTTTATGTATTATACATGGAGATCATATCCCCCCCTTATGTATTATACATGGAGATCATATCCCCCTTATGTATTATACATGGAGATCATATCCCCCTTTATGTATTATACATGGAGATCATATCCCCCCTTATGTATTATACATGGTGATCATATCCCCCCTTATGTATTATACATGGTGATCATATCCCCCCTTATGTATTATACATGGAGATCATATCCCCCCTTAATCTCCTCTTCTTAAGAGAGAATAAATTCAGTTCCTCTAATCTTTCCTTATAGCTGAGCTCCTCCGTGCCTCTTAGTAGTCAATGGAAATTTTTTAGCACTTGTATGAGTGTCACTGGTTTCCACAAAGTGTCCGTTAGTATAAAAATGTTTGCCGGAATAAAGCAGTCCCACTATAAAATGCTGATCACCGCCATTACTAATATTAAAAAAAATGTAAAAAAATTTTCCAGTATATGT